ATTGTGTGTGTGTTGTTACTACAATTATGGAATTGCCACTTAAAGATTAATTATAATTAATCAATTAATAAATAATTGTATTATTAATAGGCTAATGAAATTAAGAGATAACTTGAGCTTAAGCGGCAAAAGGATTAATCTATTACCTACACTTCTAATTGGTTGAAAAAGTTTAGCAAATCTAATAAATCTTAATGTTATTATTTGATTGTTATTGTCTTTTATCATTAGGATAACATTTTGATGAAAAGAATATTATTATTGTATGATCATTGGGTTGTGGCCATAATTGATGAGATGATTGGTAAATAAGATTAGCATAATTTATTGAAGTTGAATAAGAATATATCTAGGGAATCACAAGGGAAGTTGAAGCCCCAAACTTAATTCTATATAAATCTACTACGTAATTTCTTTACTTTTTTATTTTCATTTTAAGTTCTTTTAATTCATTTTCAATCTAAATACTTTCATCAATTTTTTGCTTAACACTCAGGAAATATTAGTAATAGGTGATTGTGATTATAGTCTTTGTGGAAACGATACTATGAGGGTATAAAACGTTCCTTTTTATTACAATTAACTAGTGCACTTACCTGTCGGCTAAAAACTTTTTAAGAGTATAAAAATTCACAACATTTTGCAATGCATTAAAGTCCACACATACCAACTTCTTGGGCCAACAAATAGAAATATTGAAGATCAGTGATATTAAGGACGTATAAAAGAGACTTATTCTACAAAAGCAACTTATATTTGACTTAACAATTTGTGATCCAACCCGTTACTGAATTCATATCTTGATTGTGTTTGAAAGTTGTCAGTAATGGAGAAAATTAGATTTTTCATTTGACTTCTTTTGTCATGAATCTTTGTCCACTAATGCTTTCCCTCATCACTATAAGTTTACTTCCTCAAGTTCTTATCCTAAGTGTTATCATGAGCTTGAAGACATTAATCATTGTATTAGAGATTGTCCTTATTTTAAATAAGTTTGATTTTGCTTAGGGTGTCCTTTACCAATTATAATTATCATGACCTACTACAACTTAGATTGCTACCTTAATTCAACATAGGAATTGTATTTCCTATATATCTATTCTTTGGTAACTTTGGCATTGGAGGAATAATATGCACTTTGATAAGAAGAAATGAAAAGAGATACCATGAGATCTACCATCTTTTAAGTACTATAAAGTTAACATGACAGTAGTTGTAGGATGAATCATATGGAATGTGGTGGTGTTATACGAGATTACAATGGTAAATGATTAGCAATATTTACTTCTTTTGATGGTAATGAGTATTCCTATTTTGTGATATGATTGTTTAAAAGTAGTGAGCCTTGTTTTGAAGAACTTAAGATTGATCTATCTTGAAATGTGTTCTATTATATAGGATATTCATCATCTTATACAAAGTTTCTATCATGTATTTACATGTCTTGTTGTTTGTGAGGTTAATTTGGTGTAATTGGCAAACTAACTCATTTAACACTCTTGTTTCATGATCCCTTTCATTCTCTAGATGATCCTTCAAATATAGTTTCTTGACTTCTAGTTCTAGACAATTTACATGTTTTACAGTTTATTTTTTTATTTTTTATTTTCTTCTTTACCTAAAAATTTTTCTAAATGTGAAAGATATGATCTTACAATATGTAACAGACATTTTATCTTCCTAATTATACATGCAAAATAATTTCATTATTTGCGATGACCCATAAAATATATACCAAGTAGTTTAATAATATTATCTTATTAATTAATTACATATTAAAGCATATATATTTTTTCTTTATTTAAATAAGGCTTTAATAACATTTTTACGTTATGTGACTACTAAAAAAAATAAAAAATAATAATAATTTATCTATAATCCATGACTGTATACATTAAAGTTCTTCACAATTTATCTTTTTCTTGAAGTTAAAATATCTATAATTTGATAGTGTATTAAATTTTAAAATTTTAATTAAATTTAAAATAAAAAATAAAAAAAAAGTTAAGAATAAATATGAAAGAAGTCACGTGATGAAATGAGAAAAAGAATAATTAATATACCTTTTAAAAATCTCTCCATATGAGAATAAAGGTTTAATTTTAATATATAAAGATAGATTTTTTTTTTTTGCTAATGTATAATTTGTTGTCATATAAGTAAATTTTACAACCTATGTATTATTAAATTAAAATAATGTTAAAATAAAAAACATATTTTATGAGTATTTTTTTTATAAAATTTACAAGAAATACATATTTTATTATATTAAACAAGTCCAGATGAAAAGATAAAATTTTTATAATAAAAAAATTTATTAGATAACATTTTAACCAATTAGTCGATGTATTAACATAATAACAATGCAAAAGCAATACTATATAAAGTTAGTTTAGTGTAAAGTCTACTAAAATTCTAATATTTAATTAAATTAATTTTTTATCTTTAATTTAAATTTAAAATTTATTCTTTACCAATTTTTTTATATCTTGAAATATATAAGTATACATAATTTTTATTTATAATTTCATTAATTTAGAATAATAATTTAAACATTATTATCTGAAAATAAACTAGAGAATAAAAATAAAATATTTTATTTTATTATGAATAATTTTAAAATAATTATCTATAAGAAATTATAATAAAATAATTAATATAAATATGATTTTAATTTTAATTTCCAATAATTTATAATCTACTCTGCTTGCGGAGTTGTTGATCCGAGCCTTCTTTCTACTTTCTTCTCACAGAGTGCCATGATTGGAAGAGGAAAGTGAGAAAGGGAGATAAAGAAAAAGAAAAGGAAAATAAGACATCTTTAAGAAGAGTTTGTTTGTAAAATAAAAAATAAAAAATTATTTATTAAATTTAAAATACATATGATATTAATTCATAAAAATTTATAGACAAATAACTCTACTCTTTCATTTTATAATTAATTTTTTTTAAAAAAAATATGACGATGTGATTTTTGTAAATTTAATTGAATTATAATAATACTGTTTAAATTATTTGTGTCAAAATTTATAAAAGTTTAATAACTGTAATAATATAGTCCTTTTTATACTTTTTTAAAAGTATACATTATATTAGTTTTAACTTATATGGATTTAATAATTTTAAATTCGTCTAAATTTTACAAATAAAATCTATTTATGATATAAATTTTTATCCAATGGTTGTTAATTTTTAGAAAAAAATTTCAATAAAAATTTATACATATAATATATGTGTGTGTATTCACTTAAATAGTTTATTTCATTTTAACTTTACTTTAGTTTTTTCGTTTTCATTTTCTTCTATTTTAATTTTTTAAACAGATGAATCATTTCAATATTTTATTCATAATTTGTATTTCCAAGTTAATTGGCGTGCGTCCTACGGGGAAGGCATTAATTTTCAATTTTTGTGGTGCCAACTCAACACCTTGACCTTTACAACGCATGGAAGCAAATTGCTATTTGCGAGGAGAAACAAATATGAACCATCTGGTCGTAAATACAAGCTGTCCCGTACTATGTAGAAGCTACAGCCTCTGCGTTTATATACTTATCTGTTTATTATTATTTTGCTCTGAGTTATCTATTTTTAATTGGTTACATACATTATCAGGAAAGAAACTTAGAAGAAAAATTGTATTGGTTCAAACATTTGTTACTCTTTATTTCAGCGAAAAAACTAAACATACATTATATGATCCCCTTAAAAATATTCAAAGTGCTATAACATATTCATGGCTAAATAAATAAAAGGTAAATCTTTAAATTAATTTTCAAGATTATATATATTGAATATTTTAATTTATAAAATCTTAAAAATATTTAATATTTTATTTTGTAAAAACTATTTATTTTAATCTTTTTTCCCTTTTATACTCTCATTTTATATTACAAAAAGACTAAAGTCAATGTTATTTTTGCAAACTTAAGAATTAACTGAAAAATTATAAAATTTCAAAATGAAATACTAAATTCATATAATTTTAAAAATTAATTTCAAGAATTTACTTGAATAAATAATAAATAAAGCCACCAACTCTACTGTAAAGTCACCATGAACTTTGAGACTCAGAAAATTTTATTTGGTGTTGCAGATTTGATTCGAAATTTATTTATGAAAACATTCTTATAGCCCATCCATACAGCCAAGTCATCATGCCAGTAATTGTCGCCTGTGCCTACCCAGCTACTGATGAGCAAGAAAAATGAATTAAAATGTTACTTTACGATAAACTACTAATATTTTTAAATTTTAAAATATAAGAAACAAAAACTCATTTTTAAATTCATTAATTGCTAGATTAATTTTGTATCTTTATTTATTATAAGATTTGTGGTACTAAGTTACTCATATAATTATTTTTTATTAATTTTGATGAATTAAAATTGATTTTTTATAAATAAAATAAGTAGTATTATTTAAGTTTTTTGTGAGTAAATTAAAAATGAATTAAAGAATAAAATTTGAACAGCCAAGAGCCCATTTTATACTTCTTTTTAGTCTTAAATTAGTGTCATTTCCTCCTATTTACGAGTAGAGTAGAACAGCCAGAGTAAATTACAAATATTTGCAAGACTTTTAAAAAATAAAAGAAGATGAATCAAATCTGAAAGCAAAAATTTAAGGACAATGTTGTTTTTAGTACTGAGATAACTTTTAGGTAATATTTTTTATTTTAAAGGTGTATTTTTAGAATGTATAGAATAATATAAAACAATAAAATAACAATCTACAATTTTGTATATGATATTAATTTATTAATTTAAATAATGAAACTGAATAATAATAATAATAATGTTCTTTTTAACGCTTCGTTTCAAGTTTTCAAAATTAAAACTGTGCATAAATTTATATACAAAATAAACATGCATGTATACAAGATCTATATTTTTCTTTCCATTTTTTGAACGTAAAACGGAAATAAGAACTAGCAGTCAAGCCCCAAAGAATTGTATCACTTTTTTTTTTAATAAAAAAAAGAACTAAACCACTGTTTCTCATATTTTTATTGACATGGAACGAACCGGATTAGAGTCCTTGTGATCATCCTCCATTCTCTTGCTTTTAGGATGAAGCAACTTGAACCAAAATCCACTTTTGTTGGCACTCTTATCATGACCATGATGATGCACACCCCGTTCACAATCTCTCCTTGGAACAATTGCCAATGATCTACTCTTTACGATTCCATGGTTATCACTCAATAGAAAGATCGACACAGAAGAGCTGCTCTTTCCCTCATTTGTGAAACAAAAACAATGTATTGGGGAAGCACAAGAAGAACCGGAAGATGATGAAGAGTAATAGGATGAAGACAAAGAAGATGATGAAGAAGAAGAATTAGCAATGATAATAGAAGAGGTTCTTCTACGTGGGTTATTAGAAGAAGATAATTGAGTAAGCTTTTCCCTCAAGCAAAGAGAACACACGCCTGGTGATTGGCGGTGTTTGGGGTGCTTCTTGCAACGACCATTTTGCTTGACCCGGCCAATAACATTGTCCTTTTCCTTTGTGAAATGTCTTCGTAGGTTTTCCATTTTGCATCGTGGAATGCAGGCTAAGTTGGTTCAGATGTATATATAGAGGAGGCAAAGAGAGAAAATGAGGTTAGGGTGTGTCGTGTGGGTGTGTTTCCACTAATTTCCTTGATAGTTCTTGGGTGCTTCCTTGTGTTCTTCTCAAAATGGTCTTTTTGATGCTTTTAATTTTACAAAGTGAGAATTGTTGAGGGTTAAGTGGACGGGTGTGATGGAGGCAAGAAGGGCCCACTGATGGAGTCGGTGGTTGTCATGCTTGTGAGGGTCGCAATCTAAACCATTTAGTACGAAGAAATCTTTCCAAACTAAAGTCGACGAGTTTAATTGGTTCAATATTAAGTTAAATATCATAGTTTTCTATAAATTATTTTTTGTGATAAACATTTTCATGTTACGTAAATTAATGAGATTTTATTATAAAATATTGATACAATTTTTAACATAATATTTCAATTCAATTATTTTCTTAAGATTAGACGAGAGCTTAAGAAAACTAGCTTTGATCTTATACTTTTTTAATCGCATTTCGTCATAATTTTGTTGGGTACCGTTAAGTAATTTCCATCGACAGTGTTGTGGAAAAGGCCAAAGCTTTCTGCGTGGCGGCGTGGAAAAACAGAAATTTTATAAAGTACAGGCGAGGCGATGACAATGGAATCAACCAAGATGTGAAGCGGTGCCGTTTTGTATACGTATGGAAAGATTTAGGAAAGCTACTTGTTTGGGTCGTCTGTAGTTAATTAACTTCCATAACAAGACATCGGTAGAGTATAATAATATAACCTTGTGAATATACATTTTCGTGTTATCATTTTTAAATACCCCTTTGTAAATGGTTCTACAATACACTTTTTTCATACATGTGAGTGGAATTTAAATTTAGCGAAGGGACACGTGCAAAAGAACCAGAAAAGAACTCTATAGTTTTGGAGGTTGAAAAGGATTATAATTTATAATATCGTTAAAGTAAACGTAAATTTATGGATATTTAGATACGAATCAAAACATACTAACAGATAAAGAAAAAAGGGTTAGATCAATGGAGGGAAGAATCTATTATAGTAAACTATTTTTGCAGCGGTGCAAGTGTGAGCTTTGAAGAGCAAATGCAAAATATGAAATGAAAGGAAAAAGTCAAAAGTATTGGTGGAGACAACTGTATGTTGTATACGAATCTGGGACAATGGCATTAAAGACTACTGATTTTCCGTATGCGAGTGCCATGCCAAAAACGCATTCCCCATTCTGCTTTGTCTTTTGCTATTGCCGCAAAGCCAGTTTATGCCTTCATGTTTATGGTTGGCTGGGCAATCGTTGATGTTTCTTTAGTACTTTTTCATTTTTTAATTATTCTACACTCTTTATAGACGTACCAAGTTAAGCTGGAAGGGCAATATAGTTTTTATTTTTTTATTTTAGAGTTACAGAGAGGTCTTCTTTCTATGCCAGCATACGCAAATTTCATGGAAATGCACTTAACTATATGTCAAGAAAGTAACGGCAATTTGAGCCCATAGGCTCAATCTATTGACTTTCATCACTAGCAACAAGAGAGTAAATTTTCACTATATCTATAATACATGCATGTTAAAAGTTCATTTTGTAAAAAATTTAGTGAAGTGTCACCGTCATATAATTTTTTTTAGTACTTTTATTTATCTTTTTCTATTTTAAAAAACTTTATTTTATTTTAGATTTTAAATTATAAAAAATTAATAATTACATTTTCACAAAATTATTTATTATTTATCATTTTTTATACTAGCATGTTATTTTGATATATTGTATTGGAATTCATTCCAAAAAAATTTTAGAGGAAAGAAAACTCAATAAATACCCAAAAACATAAATAAAATCTACCACTAAATAGTTTTTTAAAAATTTGAAATCAATTTTATGTGCTCTGCAGTTTTGATAGTGTATTGAATTTTATTTCTTCCTACAATTACAAACTTTTGCAAGTGAATAGAAGAAAAGGTATGCAATTAAAGTCAGCATCAGTGGATTTTATTTCTTCTGTCTTCATGTTTGAAATAAATTTTAAGTATTTTGTAGGTGCATTGGTCTTTCTTTTTGCCTTTACAAATGTAACATCCTTATTTTGTTATTATTATTATTGTTGTTATTGCATTTTATGTTAAGTGAGTTTGCATGTTGATTAAAATAAGGAGAGTTCGATTAGTGTAAACTATAGGATGTCTCACATTAACGAGATATCTCTCATTATAGTGAGACAGATCATCCATAATCAAGTTTTCTAAAATATTCTCGTTGTAGCAAGAAGTGAATAAGGATGACTCAATAATCCTTTCGCTGTAATAAGAGATTCTCCCTAACTGTAGCGAGAAATCCTCGTTGTAGTGAAAATTTCAATAAGGATAATTCAACAACCTTCTCGCTGAAGCAATAGATTCTTGTTAGCTATAATGAGAGATTTTCATTGTAGCGAGAGAGAAATTTTCACTATAGCTAGAATGACAAAAAATAGAGAAAAACCATTTTCTGCTTTTTTGCTATGGCAAGAGTTGTTCTCTATGGCGAGAAAGTTGCAAGTTTGAGGAATATTTAAGAAATTTTCATTCTAAAACCTTTCATTTAGAACTAAACAACCTTCCATCTCATTCTCTTTATTCTTTCACTTCCCCTTCCTAGAGAAAACTCTTCCAATACCGAACCTCTTCCAGATCTGAGCTTGAAATATCTTTTCTACTCAGATTTAAGTAAGTTTTTGGAGCTTAACTTTTAAATCTCACTCCTATATCTCTGTTTTCTCTTTTGATAATAATACTCCACTATATTTTTCACACATTAGAGTTGAATTGGCAAAAACTAAAATCTTATTAGTGTGAATCTATTCTTTTTATATTTTTGGGGATTTCTAGAAGCTAAAGCAACTATTCTAAATGTAAATGAAAGTTGTATCTATTCAAGCCTTCAAAATATTGCCACTTGTTTCATTTTAAAATTACATCTCTAGCCTAACTTATGCTTAATTTACTTATATTTATTTAGATTATCAAGATAGATTACGTAAGTTGAGTTTTAGCTCAAATTTCTTTGATTTAATTTTCAAATAGCTCTTAAGACTTCTATGTACATTAAGGACCATGTCTTGACTTTCCAAATTCACAAAAAATCACTCTAACAACGTAAATATAGTCCAAAATATGACTTGCATAATAAGTAAAGGTTTCTAAACATCACATTCAAAAAACTTATATTTAGCAATTTAGGTTTAATAAGGCCAGTAATGCAAAATTTAATAGAAACATCAAAATTAAGCATAATTAACCTTCAATTAGGTTAAGTAGCACCATGATGTAGAAATGTTGTTAAAGTGTCATTTAAATTGAGTTAAAAATGCGTAAACTTTGAATATATAACTAATTAATAAGACAATAATATTAAACTAGTATAAGCTTTATGGGTTATTTTTAACAATGAATTTATATTGCATGTATTGCAAAGATAACGATAAAAGTTCCAAAATAATTTATTGTATATCGTGATATTATATCTTTCACATTTAAGTATATGAGATAAAATTCATGCATAGTTATACTTGTCATTTGCTGATATTATATCATTATATTTAATGCTTTTCATTTTAATCTTTAAACAAAAGAATTTTACACTTTTTTAGTTTCTATATAAAAAAACTTTAATTTTAACAAATGGTAAAAATTAATTTAAAAATATTTTCATAAAAATGAAAATAACTTAAGAGTAAGAAATAAATTTTTAATCTAATCTTTTTATTTTAAATAAAAGATTCAAGGAAAAAGAAAAGAAATATACCTTTTCTTAATAAAAAAAAACTATAAAATAAAGCATATTTTTATAATTCTTTCTGGCAAGTTTTATCATATTATGAATGAAAAAAAAATTAAATAATCATATTATTACCATAGCATGATTAAATTAAAGTTCTAAACAAATACAAACAAAGTCTCATTAAAAAGAACTAGAAAATAAAACTAAATAATACATTGTGCAATTCTTTTGAACTAGATCATGCACACTTCGTCTCATTTTTTTTTTAATCATTCAAAAGATAATCTACTTTCATATATTGGTGTGGATAATACCAACCATGTGAGTACAACTTAGAAGTAGCAAGATTTTCCACGAGTGAAAACTTGTCAATTAATTCTGCCTCCATTGAATATATGCAACATATGGTAGATAGAGCTTCCAAACAATACACACAATTGCTTTAACCTCCCCACTTGCTTGATTTTCTTATTGCAGAACCCTATTTTCCTCCAAAGAATAGAGCTTGATCATTTAACTTATCTAATGTAATCTACTTCATTAAATCAAAATCCATTTTGAAAATACTTAAATGCTTCTCAAGAACAAAATCAACCATGAAAAGTTGATTATTTGAAACTACCAACTTCAAATTTTGGGAATTTACATTAGGGGTATTTTTTACCTCCAACCAATTAACCTTTGACTGTAGTCTTTTTATCCTTAATTCTCCAAGTTGACCTTTCGTTATAACAAAATATACTTGGTGCTTAAAAATAGTTATGTCCACCCATGGTTGCCCACAAACTATCCCAATAAACCATTTCTTACTTCTAAAGTGAAAGATATGAATTTTATGCTTATTATTAGAGATGGCAAGGATAAAATAACTTTGAGAGGACAAAACTGAAAAAAGGATGATAAGATCATGGAGAGATTTACCTTTAAGGGTAAAAAGTGGTGCTTGAAAATTCAATTCATGTCCATTTATAGGATTTATAAGATTGCACTTCATATCTTCAAGAATTATATATCCTGGAGAGCATCCAACAAAGTATTTGCCAACAAGGTTAGATACCATAACTTTTTTTGTATTACCATTGGCCATGTCATATAAATAATATGCACGTTTGGCATGTGATGACATGAGCACCACCATTGGTGCTTGGGATTCTAAGAAATTTTCTTTAGATTTAATATAAATTTTTCACTAGCTATTGTAAATAGTGCCAAATGTACAAAAGCTT